ATATTTGCAATAAATAGAGTCTGGCATATTTTAATTTAAAAAGAAAAAAAACTTATAGTGTTTTGTGATTTCTTTTTTTTTTAGATCATTTAAATGAGGCAAAGTACTTCACAATCTACAACTAAAATTTTTTCTTGCATATTGTGTTCTAAAAAAACATTTAAAAGCAAGCATGGTTTTAACATTTATAATACCCGTATTCACAAATTGCAAGACTATATTTTAAATTCTTCTAGTAACATTACATCAAATACGCGAATTTTTTGTACACTATGTACTCGAAAAGGTTTTAAAAACAAGCAAGGCCTTATTAGACATGAAAGATATACTTACAGCATGTACAAAATTCCTCATGCAACCTTAATATCTTTACCAGAAGAAGCTATCAATGAGTTTAAAGAAACCATTGTTTATTTGATTCAACGTCAACTTTCTAATCATAGCAGCTTAATCAGATTTCGATGCATTACTATTCCTTGTTTAGAAAGTCAATTTATAGGGGTGTTTGGTAATTATATTGCACAGTATGCACCTACCCAACAAACTTATGAATGTGTGTTTACAGGTGAATGTGCATATGAAATATTGCAGTCAATTTTTGGTGATAGCAATTGAGGTATTCACCATTATACAGGAAATCAGCAAACTGCAGTAATTTTATTTACACCAACACAAACTGAAGATGATTATAACAATACAAAGAATTCAGATTTTGATACTTTACCTCAAGATCAAAATGCAACCAAGTTTGAAATAAAAGTTAAATGGAAATGATGAGGAATAAAGAATACTATCAATCATGAATGCACAGGTGGATTTTTAACATTAAGATTCACAACAGACATGGCTTTTTTTTAATTATATCATTTTTAACTTTTATTTGTTATATATAGATTTTTTTTATTAGTTTTGTTATTGTTAATAAAGGAATAACCTATAGAGATGATTTTAATGATTAGTGAATGGTAAGTATCACAGTTAGAGAGTATAAAATGATCGACTTTTATTAATGATATATGGCAGGCATTTATTATTAATTAAAAATTACATACGGTTGGAATGAACAATAACATCTCATTGTGAACTGTCAAAAAACAAAAAAATAAATGGCACATAATGCAAATAAAAATAAAAAGCTCAAATCTTTGTTATAGACCCGTGTTTGAGTTTGGTGACTTAAAATTTATGTTTTTATATAAAATTAATAAGCAACAATGAATTTGTTCTAATAGAATTTTTAACCCAATGTGGCCAGGCTTTTTATACTCAGCAAAAGAAAATTAGTCTTGTGAAATCTTGAATAATGTCCAGAGGCATGACTTCGGATTATGTCTGAATTAAGTTATGGCTCGAAATAGTATGCATGTCCCATTATTTCAAGGATCACTTGTGCTTAGTTTAAGCAAATATTTGGATTTACTTTAATGTTTATAGGGCTCTGCAAGTGCCAGCATGTGCCCTATTAAAACATAGTATCAGGCATAGGCATGAGCACTATGTTTTAATAGTATGCATGCTAGCACTTGCAGAGCCCTAAGTGTTTGGTTTTATAATGTCAGAATACTTACTAAGGTACGTAGCTTATTTTTTTTTATTATATACTTTTCTTTAGCACCAAAGAATAGTCAAGCTAATGGCACATAGAACAATTGTGTGGGATTGTTATAAAGATGAAGTTGTGTGGAAAAGGATAATATAAAACATTTGAATATTATCAAAGTCTGCCAGAATAAGCACGATTTATAATCAAAAGCCTGCTAATGTGGAAAACGTTGATGAAACACTTGCCGGCACACTTGGAAATTATTTAAGTGCTGTCAAAGGAAAACCTGTTATCAGGCTTTCAATTATATTTTGTACTAGACATAATCTATTTAATTAATTAGAGATTGTGTCCAGTGCAAAATATAATTGAAAGCCTGATGCCTTTGACGGCACTCATTTTTAGTAAAAGGAATTAGAGCTGAAAAGTATAAGATCCTCAATCTGCTGATTTAATAGAATTTGAATTATAATTATAAAGGAAAGTGGTGAGTACAAGATATTCATTTATTATCAAATGAGTGCTACTAAGGGAAAATGAGAATTCAGGCTTTCAATTTTAGCATTTATTATTTATCAGATTCAGCCTTTAAAAATCTAATGGTAACATATATAATACGTAATCACATATTGTATATATCAGCAATCAGATTTTTCAGGAGCTGAATTTAGTAAATAATCAAAAGCCTGAAGTCTCATTCTCCCTTGGCGGCATATATATAATATACTAGAGATAACTCTTAAGTTGCATATTATTATTGAAATAAGGTCAAGATTGAAAAGATAATTATAATGCATTTGCTTATATGGATAACACAGATAGAGTGCTTGGCTTTATCAAAAATCTGGGAGACAGAAAATGCTATGGGCATTAAAAAGTATGAACATAATCTACTGATATGGGTAGTGCTAATGAAGCATTTAATCTCGGATTTTATGATCAGATATTGTAATTATAAAGGAATTGGAGTTGTGAAGGATGAATGTACTGTAATGTGTTTTAATCTACCAAGATATTGTTGTCAAAGGGACTTGTGTAATATTTTAAGACAGGATTAGGTGAGGTTGGTACATCCCATTTGAGCTGTATTTGTATTTACTCGATCAGAAGCTTTAAAAAACATACAAGAATAGCTAATAGGCTCAAATCTCTAATACATATATAAATAGGATAATAAATAAACAGATGACTATCCATATTAGAAGGAAGAAAAGCGTTTTACAAGAATAACTCACTGACTTTAAAATGAACTTGAATCAGACGGTGGAAAAGCAATAGTAGATGCATTTTGCAAGACTACTTCATTGACTTCTTTGAATCAGAAGGAGGATAGTGCGTTTTGAAATTTTTTTTTTCATCGTGATCAGCTACTAAATACTTTTTGTAAAACACAACTGATTTTTTTTTTTACTAAATATATTAGAATAGTGCTCAACATTTGGTATTCGCTATATTCAGATTTTAATGAAGAACACTATTCTTAATGAATCCTAGTTCTAACAAACTTAAATCGGAAAATGGAAAAGCATTAGTAGATACATTTTGTGAAAACACTATATTGAAAATTTTCAGCAATAATGGATGTGCTGAGGAAAATCATTAGAAAATGTGCTTTGCAAGAACTCCATACTGACTACTTTGTAGAATGAACTTAGATTATAAGGAAAAAAAGAATTCTATGCTGTGATTTACTATTGCACAATACATCATTGAATCTCATCTTTATTTAGTTATAATGCTCCTAATTTTTATATTGCTGGGTCCAAAATTATAGTTTTTATTTTTACTATGTATTTCTGGGTTATTATTTTCTAAAAGTTAAATTTTTAAATAAAAGTTTTTGCCCTGTTATGAGAATAAATAATTAACTGCATTGCCTAATTTTAAGATTATAATTTTTAAGATTTTAAATTTTTAAAATTAAAGATATAAACTTTCAAGATTTCGTTCGTTTCAGAATAAAGATTTTGGATTTTGGATTTCCAATTTAACAATTACATTCATATATTCATGTGATTTTTAAAACTATCATATATTTCTTACTTTATTATAAATGTTAAAAGATCTAATGAGATGATATTATATATAGAAACCCTGTCACCAAAGAATCACTCAGATTTCAGAGATTGGTTCAAGAAATGAGTGATATGCTCTACTGATGGTGCTTGTTCATTTGTCATTAAATTTGCTAAGATATTAAAATTCAATAATTTAGAATTGGCTTCGATATTACAATATAGCGGTAAATAGTTTAAATAATTGCATAAATGTCAATTTAGGATTTAGTGAAAGGAATCCAGAATGAATAAAATGATAATAAATCAATTTAATAATTAAAATATGTAATCGAAGTTTACTTACCGATAAAAAAAAAAAAAAGGAAAAGATAATAAAATTCCCCATTTTAAATCTTAATTGAAACACTCTACTCTATAAACCCAATTTTTATTCTATTAGTATCATTTTCACGATATATAAATAAAATAATATATTTATCTTAATGTAATTAAATCGTAAGCCTAGTGTCTTTTTCAAAAAAAGCTGGTATCTTATGAGTATAAAAATAAAGATTCCTAGTATCATAATCTATTATTTTTAAAATAGCGGCTTTTCTAACTTTGCCACCATCTTTTAAGCTTTTTTGAAAAAAATATGAAACCTGTTGATGATTTTTTTTTCCACTGCAGCATATGAATAACTTGCCATTCCAAAACTAACGTGCAAATCTTTAAATTCTGCTACATGATACACTAATGCATGAATATAAGGTGTTATATTCACAGGCCAATATAACTCTTTAACAAATGTCTTGGAATTAAAATTTCCTTTTGATTTTGTCAAAAAAATATTTAACCATATGATGGCTTTGGCTTTAAACTGATCACCTGTTATTTTAGGATTCTTGATATCTTCATATAGTTGGGCAAATCCATTCCACAAGTTGTGTACTAATATTGCACGATCATTAGGTAAGATTTTTGCAAAGTTGAAGTTGTAAAGTACCTTAAGTTTATCACCCCCCATTAGGGAAGTATATTTTAAACTACTAGTAGTTGTTTCTTCCTCTTGCCAAAATTCAAAATGAACATTGATTCTTTTCATTTCTTCAATAATTTCAGGATATTTGCTATCAAATTTTTTAGTAGTTTTGAGCTCTGCTATTACTAAAGACCATAATTGATCCTAAACACGTAACAACAAATGAAGTTCATCAATAATCCAATGATGTAAAGGAATCATAAAAAAGATTGGCTTTTTTATATGTCTATCTATATTCATATAGTTTTGATTAATCGTATTGATATTTTTACTAATTTTCCAGTCTTTTTCAAAATTACCATTCTCATCTTTTTTACAATCACACCATAAGCTAAAAATAATTGGCGTTAGCTGCCTTGTGCCTAAGACAAAGTGCAAGCATTTTTTAATCTGCTGAAAAGTACGAATGAACTTTCTATAGTCATCCTTGTTGATCAATAAATCCATTTTTTATATTCTCTAAATCTAAAATCAAAAGCACTAATGCAGTTTCTAAGCTTTCATACTTTTCTGCTCCTGGATAAAGAACTAACGTATGGTGATAATCAGGTTTGTGTATATTTGATAAATCGTTTAGGATACTAAATGTAATCATCACATGCTTTATTTTGTGTCCAACATTGCAGCCATCTCCGGAGATTCGCAAATAAATATTTCTTGACTCTAAATTTAATATTTTATTTTGTAGTAATGTTGGAATTAAATAGGCCAAGATATCTTTAATTGATCTATATGTGCCTTTTCCAACTGACTATATAACTAATTCAACAATATTTTGATCATTAAAATGAATTTCTTCATCAATTAATTCAGTTGAGTTATTTAATAAATTTGTTGAAAGATCAAATAAAGTTGTTTTTATTTGACTTGTCATATTGTACATAAGTTGTTTTTTTGCTTCAAAAACTGACCATTCACGTGGCAAACTTTGACTAAGATTAGCAATTGTTCTATATGCAGATCGTGATATTTTGCTAACATCCATTGCTTTAATAATTGCTAATAAATGTAATTCTTCTGTATTATTATGATGTTGATTATAAACAACTGAATAAGAATGGCCATTAATAGTAAATTTCATTTTGTTTAATATTACAACATCATCATTATGAAAAACTGATTTAATTTGTTTTTAAGCCACTTGGTAAAAAACAGTTGCACCTTTTTTACTTCTATTTCATTGACCTAATTCGCTTAACAATGAATATATCTTTAAACTATGATTAACTTGTTTCATTTCTCGAATATCTTTTATTTGTTGTAGTTGTAATCCAAATAAAAGAATTCCATTTCACTTTGTACCAGAAGTTTTTTTTTGATTTTCTTCATTTGAATTTTTTTTTTTTAGTTTTTGATTCAATAGCCTATTAAAATATAAATATAATATTTTATTAAATTATTTAGTAATAATAAATTAATAATTTTTTAATATACATACTTTTTGATATAAATTTGCCACTGCTGAAGAACTTTCTTTAGATTCTACATAATCATTATGTTTATTACCATAAACAACTCGAAACTTTGCATCTTTTCCACAATAATAAATTGAACAAATAACTGTTTTTTGGTTGTTTTTTTTTCCATATGAAGTATGAACAATATAATTATTAGGAATTTTGTATTTTCCAGGTTTTCTAGTATATAATAGCTTAGATTCTTGTGGGTATTTGCCTTTTAAAATAATTTTATATATTAAACTTTGACATAGAGTTTTGTAAATTATTGCAGAATCTTGTGGATATGTATTAGTTTCATATTTATACTTTCTTTGATTTGTTTGTATTATTTTTAAAACAAGTACGTATATAAAATTTGATTGTTATATAAATAAGTACAGTCGATCTTCTCAAAATCAGTATACATGGTGAACAGGTTATGTATCAGTTTTAACAAACTTGAAGAATTAATTTTTTTTAACTGATTATAGAGGTTATCAGTTTTGACAGAATCGGTTTTGAGAAAATCAACTGTATATAAAAATTTTTAGGGTATTTTTATTAGATCTTCAATTTTAGGGTACTATGCTGATCCGCTGATATGTTGGATGTTTAGGAAATTTTAATGAATGCCAAAAAAGTAAAAAATCCAGGGCAACCTAGCAGTTTTTCCTAAAATGTCAATGAAAAAACCTGTAAAGACAGGTTTTAGTTTTCACCTTTTTGTTTGTATCTTGGTGAGTTTTGGTTTATTTATAATAAATTATATATCAAAATGACCAGAACAGAGAGCATGTTCTTTTTCTAATAGGTAATAAGATATATTTAATTAGTAAAATATATAGTAAATAAGCAAAAACCAAATTTTTGGTTTTTGAAACCTTTCTCAGTGGCCAAGTGTTGTACGAGCATAAAACTTAACTACCTAGGAAGAGAAAAGTGAGCTGAGTAACTTTACCTAGAAGTACAAATAAGGTTTACTTAATAAAATATTGAGAAATAATTAAATGTTTTTAGCAAAAATTTGGTACAAATAATCTACGAAGAGAGTTACAGAATTGGTCCCCCAATTTAGCTAATTAGAATTTATGTTAGCATTTATTGAGAAATTTCTGAAATCAAACTGATCATCACTTCTATACTATATTAGGTGCAATCTTCATTTTCTGTTTTTGGTAATGTGCTTGAATGTATTAATAACAAAACTTTAATAGAATAGCACTTAGCTCCAAAACTCTGCTACTTCTGTAATAAAAAAGTACATATTAAAAAGGAATGCTCTTAGTATTTGCAAACAAAAAAAAAGCAGAACTATTTTATTTGAAAGAAAAAAAAAAGTCTCAAACTATAAAAACAAAAGGTTTTTACAAAAGACTTAAATATGAATATAAATTAAATTAAAGGAATTTTTTTAGCTAATTCTGAAAAAACAACTAATTCTGAAAAAGGTAAAAAAGAAGTTATAGAAAATACTATAATAATGAAAGAAGATTTGAAAGTTTCTTATAATGAAACTTTTAGTAATATTAATAAAAAAAATCTCTCTATTAACAATACTTCTAAAATCATTATTACAGAAACAGAAAATTCTCAAGCTTTAAACTTTCTTTTGGTACTAATTGCAAATGACATTAATTTGCAATTTTGTTTTGATAATGTCTAGAAGAAATTTACAGTTGTCTTATATAAAAGAAAAAAGGATAAAAAAACTTTTATAAAACAAAAAGCTAAGCCAATTAAAAAGGCTTTATATAGAAATCTTTGTAATAGAGTACAAAAGTTTTAAATTTATATCTGTACTACTACTTAAGTTTTTATAACCAATTACATCAAATTCAAAATGTCAACCCTTAATGCAAAAGGGTTAAACAATTATCAAAAACAATGGAACATCTTAACTCTCTTAAAATCATATAAACTAGATCTAATTATGCTACAAGAAGCAAATCTAAATAACAAAAAACACAAAACTTTTTCAAAAACTAATAGATGTTTGACTTCATTTGAATAAACAAAACAGCTATATTTGCAGACAACAAAGATATAATCTTTAAAAATATAGAATTAGATCTAAATAATAAAGTAATTACACTAATTTTAAGTACAAAAAACTTACATTTCAAATTTGCAATATATATGCTCTATTTTGCCTAAAAGACAGAAAACTTTTTTTCAAAAAGTGGTCTTCTTAAATTAAAAAAATGCTATTAATATTATTAGAAGTAACTTCAATATTAAACTATATCCAGAAAGAGATAGGATTAGTGAAGCAGCTTCACAACATGATATTACAAAAGTACAACTTCAAGATCTTACTAAAAATTTTTTAGATTCCTCTAACTTTACAAAGACAAATTTTTTTTATACTTTTTTTTAAAAAATCTAAAACAATTACATTATGGCTACATATTTGAATTATATTTATATTTTTGTTAATAAAAAAACAATGCTTACTTAATTTCAGAAGTTAATACAAAATTTAGAACCTCAGATCACCTGCTGGTCAAGTGACTCAGAACTTTAATTCTAAAGAAAAAAATATATTTTCTGAAGGTTTGATAAAAACTGCTTTAAGAATCAAAAACTAAAAAAAAATTCTATATAAAATCTCAGATTTAAAAAATGCAGAAGATTGAAATTTTTACAAAGTATATATACAATCTATTATTAGAGCTTTTAAAAAACCAAGAATAATAAAAAACAAAATTATAAAATTAAACAAAACATTACTTAACTAAAAAAAAATTAATACATAATTCTGAGAACAACTACTTACACTTACAAATTAACATGCTAAACTTAAATCTTCAAGAAAAGTTATCTTAGTTTGCTAAAAAATAGTAAACTCATTCTAAAACTCAATGGATTGAACAAGTTAAAAATCTACAAAATACTTTTTTGCCAAATATAAAACAAGAAAAGCATGCTCAGCATTAAAAGACATTAAAGATTCTGAAGCCTTACAACAAACAAGAGAAAATACTCTTTGCTATATAAGAAAGATATGCAAAAATTTACAAAAAAGAGAATATAAATATTAGCAGAAAAATTTACAAAAACCTTGCCACAAGTTTTCTTTGCATATAACTTGACTCTTATATATGAAATTACATAAGAGAAAATTAGCAATATTATTAAAAATCTCCCAAACAATAAGGCTTCTGATACAGATAGACTAATATAAAAGTTTTATAAACTTATTAAAGAATTAATAATACTAGTTTTTTTTAATGTTTTTAATCATACCTTTAGTTCAAGAGTTATGCCAATCTCTTAGTATAAAAGTTTAATTTTACTAATATTTAAAAAAGAAAAAAATCTTAAAAATATAAATAACTAAAGACTAATATTATTAGTAAATAGTAATAACAAAATTTTTATAAAGATTTTAGTCAATTATTTTAACCTTATATATGAGAAGATAATATCTTACTAATAACATAAATTTATTACAAACAGATCTATTACTAATGCAGCTTTTGATATTATTACTACTATAAGAAACTAATTAGATTCTTTTAAACAACACTAGTTACTTCTTATTGACCAATAAAAAGCATTTTATTATATTAGCTATAATTTTTTAGAACTTATTCTAAAGAATATAAACTTCAATCACAAGTTTATAAGCCTAGTACATAATCTTTTCTTCAACCAAAAGGCTCATATTATTGATGCTAAGGCTATTTCTAAACTATTTAAAGTAGAAAAAGATGTTAAACAAAGAGATCCTCTTTTTTCACTTCTTATATACTAGCCTTTAAGCTCTTATAAGAAACTTAGAAAGACAATTATAGGATATAAAACTAAAAAATTGGTTCTTTAAAACTTCTGCTTATGCAGATTATTTGACAATAAAAATTGAATCATCTATAAACTAGAACAAAACAATGCCAACACTAAGCCTATACAAGGTAGCTTTAAACACAAAAATTAACAAAACTAAACTCAAATTAGTTCTTCTTATAGCTATAGTCTAATAAATATGACTTACTAATGAAAACCAATTTATCAAATTAGAAGAACAAGAAATTATTACTATTTTAAGTTATAACATCCTCACTAATAGTTAACTAAAAAAATCTCTAAGCTACTACTATTAACAAGCTAAAAAGATTTCTTAATAAGTTTTTAAACAGAAACTATTTTTTTAAAAAGAAAATCTTAATCACAAAATTATTTATCTTATCTAAAGTTTGGTACTTAATTTATTTGTTGTTTCTAAACAGAAAGCAGATAGCAGAAATAAAAAAAATTATAACTCTTTGGATCAAAATACATTATAGATACTTCTCAGATATTTTATCTTTTAGCAATTAACAGAATTAGCAAGTTTTCAAGTTCTAATTATTAAAGATATACTAAATGCTTGCTTAATCACAGTTTAGATGAAACTTCTTACATTCAATTCCATATGAGCAACATATGAAAAAAATAAAATACAATCAATCTTAGTAATAGAAGAAACATCTCTTATTTAGGCTCTAAATTCTAATAATACAAGTACAAAAGCCTGGTCTTTAGAATAAAAACTCTATTTAAAGTTCTGAACAAAAATTAAAAACAAGATTTCCTATACTTTCAACTGGCTATAAAATAATAATAAAATTTTTTTTTTTTTAAAGAGAGGTCTATTCTCTATCTTTTTTATTTATAATCAATTGTACATATATAAAACAAATACATGTGAAAAATTATATTATAGAAGATGAGTATAAGAGCTACTTTACTCTCAACTTATTCTTTGCTAAAATAGTTACTAAACCTTTAGTCTTTGAAAAGATGTGTTAGAGAAGATTGTCAATTATTTATATATCTTATTAATTTTCTTTCTATAAAAGATAGAGCCAAAAGCTTAGTTTTGTTTAGTATCAAAGCCTGTATTGGGCAGGAGTTAAAAGAATTAAATCATGTTTTGACTTTTTAGAAACAAGCCAAATTGTTTTGTATATTGCAGTAATAATGTTATAATGTATTAGTAAAGCGTATTTGTGCCTGTGACTATTTGGGTCAAGAGGTGCTAATGTGTTTCTAGTAATAAGTTCTAGTGGTATCTGCTTAGTTATATATATAGTAACAAATGCTTTGATGAAAGCATCTAAGTGCAAACATAGTATTTTCAATTTTCATAAAGTTTCATATACTGTTTGTCTAATTAGGATTGAAAACTATATGTGGTTCTGAATGCAAATTAATAGATAAACAATATCCTCAAAGGCACTATGACATCTTGGA